CTGAGGCGGAAGGATCGCTGGAGCCCAGCAGGTCGAGGCTGCAGTGGCCAGGAGCATGCCTCACCTCGGTCTCCCAAAGCCCGGGATTACAGGCTGAGCCACCGAACCCGGCCTACTTTTTTAAAATTACAATTAAGTTTCCATCTGTTAACAGGATAAGTATTTCCCATGTGATGTATATTTAAAACCATTTTTGTTTTAAAATGGAAACATTTAGTACATAGAATCACTAATGCCTATCCTATCAAAGTTCTATGGGTTTTTTCCCCTCTATTTTCCCAAAGTACTTTCTAATCATATAAAACACTGAATCCTGCAGACTTAGATTGTTAGAAATGATGTTTATAGTCTACAGTTGGAAAGAAGGAACAAACATAGATTTGGTGTTATGTGCAAAACATTTTTTTTTAGAGTGAAGGTCTTGCTCTGTCACACAGTCTAGAATCCAGTGGTGCAATCGTAGCTCACTGTAACCTTGTATGACTCAAGGAGTCATCCTATATAGCTAGGACTACAGGCCTGTAATTGGTAGTGATAGAGTCTCATTGTATTGCCCAGGCAGTTCTCAAACTCCTGGCCTCAAGCTATCCTTTTGCCTCAGCCTCCCAAAGTATAAGGATTAATGACATGAACCACCACACCTGGTCCAAAACACTCTTTTTTTTTTTTTTTGAGTTGGAGTTTCACTCTGTCACCCAGCCTGGAGGGCAGTGACATGCTCCTGGCCACCACAGCCTCAAACTGCTGAGCTCAGGTGATTCTTCTGCCTCAAACTTCCAAATATCTGGAATTACAGGCACATACCACCAGACCTAACTAATTTTTTGATTTATTGTAGAGATGAAGTCTTGCTAAGTTGCCCAGGCTGGTCTTGAACCCGTAGACTCAGGCAGTTCTCTCACCTTGGCCTCCTAAAGTGCTGGGATTATAGGCGTGAGCTACTGCGCCTGGCCAATGTTTTCTTAATGAGCCTTTGTATCATATGTCTCAGGCAAATATAGACCATTTTCTTGGGTCACCAAAGTTAAAAGGTGAACCATGATTGTTTACAATGAGAATATATAGCTGAAGCAAAGGAAGAAGTAGATAAATGTGGACTAGCATATATTATTGACTGTAGTATTTCTATAGCAATGAATAATTGCTTCAGAATGAGAAGAGAACCTCTCTTCCCTAGTACTGAGATTATTTTGTGGAGGGACAAGATGCTTTAACCATAAAGTCATAATCTGAGTACATTTTTCTTTCCTTTTGTGTGCAATTATTTAACACTGCCTCTAGCTCAATAGTAGTGGTGAAGAACAATTGTTGTCATTGTTCTTTAATATTGATAGATAATACAATCAAAGCTTGAATAAAGCTTTAGTTCCATTCATCATCATCTGTATTTTTTTTTTTTTTTTTTTTTTGAGTTGGAGTCTCACTCTGTCG